TTGAGAGAGAGAAAGGAGGGGGAGGAAGGAGAGGGGAGAGAGAATCTTAAGCAGACTCCTTGCTGAGCTCAGAGACCAGTGTGGGGCTCCATCTCACCACCCTGAGATCATGACCTGAGCTAAAACCAAGAGTTGGATGCTTAACCTACTGCACCACCCAGGCACCCTTTTTGCTAAACTTCTCAAAGAAAGAATAAATGTGCTCTATTTTAGATATTCCCTGGCACACTAAAAAGTAATTCATATTTGGCAACATCCTAAGATTTTAGATACTGAGGAGGAGAATTTACAACAATAAGTCACAATTAGACTCAAATGTCATTGCACTATGCCTACACTACAACATACTGTTTTAGAGTATGCATTTCTCCCAGATGGGTAATTAACACAAATTTGGTTACAAAGTATACAAAGTTCTTTCTCTATTCTATCTACTGTTTAAATTAGATATACCATATCAAAATTCCGCCTAACCTTCAGGACCCGATTCAAATCCCAGACTAACCTTGGTCAAGGTTCCACAAACGATATTGGGTGATCCTCTAATTCTTGGGTTTTTGCATATACTTCTATTACGAATAAATTTTTATGATAATGGGTAAATTTTTATTGGAATGCTCAGGAAAACTCTACTTATCCTTCAAGCCCAGCCCAAAAGGTCTTTTTTATTTGAAATCACATTCCATAACCTAATCTAGGTAGTTTGATATTCCCTCCCTTTATGCTAATATTAAAGGTAGAGCACGCACAGTCTGACCCCAAGATTTGGGGGAGGTGGGGCGGGGGGTGGAGGTTAACTAAACCTTTTTGAGCTCATTGAAGGCAGAAGGCATAAGATAACTTTTTCATCTTTGCTACCCTGAAATAATATAGAACTTAGATCAGGGTTTTTAAGCCTGGGAACTATTGACATTTGGGGGCAGGTGAGTACTTTTTCTAGGAGGTTGTCCTGTCCATTGTGGGATATTTAGCAGTATTCTCTTTTCAGGCTTAACAATCAAAAATCTCTCAAAATTTGGCCAAATATTCCGTGGGGGATAAGATTGCCTCTTGTTGAGAACCACTGATCTAAATCATATCGTGTGTGAACTTGATGTCAGGAATTGTCAAGTTTTTTCCTCCACCTTCCATCTTTTACACCATGTAGCTCTAGAAAGGAATTCAACAAATGTATTTGAGTAAGTGATTTAAGTTGCAAATAATACTAAAATCTTTCCTATGAGCCATTAAAAATAGGGTTTACAAGGATGATATCTATTCATGAGAGAGATGATGTGGTATATTGGCTAATGAGGCAAATTCTGGAGTCAGACTGGGTAGATTCAAATCTGTGACACATGTGTTTATAGCCCACCTCTCAGCTTCCTAGTTCAGTAACCTTGATCAAGTCATTAAACTTTGCTGTACGTCTCTATCTGCATTATAAAATGATGATACAAATAGTACTTACCTCAACAACACTAAGTGAAGATTACATGATAAGCTATTTAAAACACCTGGAGCAATACATGACAAGTGTTGGTTATTATTACATATGTTTATGTGTGCAAGTGTCAGTATACTAATATGTCATCTCTATTGTAGAACATGTAAACAGATATAATCATTTTCAAGGCAACATAGGATAATAGGTATAAAGAGGTTCTGATATTTTCTTGCCCCACCCTGTGGATTATTTTGTTTGTATACCTTGAGTGCTGTGTTTTGCTCTTTGACAATTTCTGCTTTTAGAAGCAGCCTGAGGATAGATTAGGGCTTGGCATTCCTCATGGCCAGGAAGCTGCCTACTGAAGTTTCCTGTGGAGATGGACTAGGGTCTGTGATTTTAGCAAACCCAGTTAGATCTTTTGGGCCAGTTTCACATTAAGTTCTGTGTTCACACTCATCTGCTCCCTCAAGTTTCTGTTTAAACATTACATCCTGGTTTTTACCTCTGCTCCATGGAATTAAGGAAGAGTTCTGCATCCAAAATTGCACTAACAAGTTTAAAATGTAGATAGAAACAGAGGTTATTATTCAACTGCTTATCCATTCATTTGACGGACATTTAATGAGCACTTAATGTGCCAAACCTTGTTATGGAAGTTGAGAATTAGCCTGGAACAAAGCATAAAAAAATAACTGCCTTCTCACGACTTACATTATGGTGGCTGGAAGAGTACTTTAGGAGAGGAGAGCAACAGGGTTAGAGGCCATTAGACAGGAACATGCTTAGTGTGTTGGTGAATGAGCAAGAAACCACAGTGGTTGAAGCAACACAAGCTTGAGCAAGAGGAAGTACTTGAGGCCAGAGGATTAAAGGGTGGGATGTGGAGGTGTAGGGTCAAAGACTGTACAGGGCCATGGGTCATTTTAAGAAATTTAGCTTTTATTACAAGAGATTTAGGAAATAACTGAAGTATTTTTAGCAGACAATTGATATCATCTGAAGTCACTTTAACTGAATCATTCAGGCTGCTGTGTTCCAGATAAACTGGGACAAGGATGCTGTGCAAGGGCAGAAGCATGAAGACCAGTCAGGATTCTCCTATAAGATATTAAAGGAAAATAGTGCAATGAGAAAAATGATGTTGGCCTATGCTACATGGATAGCAGTGGTCAAATTCTGTGTGTATTGAAAGTAATGCATTTCAGTTTTACTAACTAAATGGCTAACTGATACAGCCATTGAGAAAGGGGGAAGTCAGGGATGACACCAAGACTTTTGAACTGAGCAACTTTTAACCTGATTTTTGAAGAATGGAGTTACCTGTTCTTAAGTAAGAAAGACAGGGACAGAGTGGAATGTGAGGAGGTAATTTAGACATATTAAGTGTGAAATGCCACTAGAATCTGTAGGCAACTGGATATAGTAGTTTGGAATTCAAGAGAGAGAACCAGATTAGACCTCTCAACTTTGGAGTTTTGATAGCATATAAATGGCTTAAAGCCATGGACTAAATGATATCACCCACAGGGGAATATAGATATAGGAATAAATCAAATGAATTCTGGACATATTTTGTAGTTAGAGTTAACAGGATTTGCTGACAATTTAAATGTAGATGTAAAAGATAAGATTCAAGGGTGACTCCAAAGGTTTTGGAGAAAAAAAAATATAGCTATTGATAGACTGATCCTGGGGCTCTCCAATATTGGAGATAAAGAGGAATCAGCAAACCGAGAAGGAATGGTTAGAAAGGAAATAATCAAACCAGGGAAGTGTGATATCTTAGAAACCAAGTGTAGACAGTGTTTCAAGGAGCAAGCAATGGTCCTTGAAACCTGTGTCATATGCTACTGGATTAATATGAAAACTGAGAAATGACAATGCGGTTTCACATGATAGAGGTCATGGGCAATCATACTGAGAGCAGTGTCAATTGAGAGAGATGGGAACAAAAGAATGGTTGCTAAGACAGTATATTAAAAGTTCTTATCACAAGAAAAAAGTTTTTGTAACTTTTGTAACAGATGGTAAGTAGACTTAGTGTGGTAATCTTTTTGCTGTATATTCGATTATCAAGTCACAATGTTGTATACCTGACATTGATATCATGTTATATGTCAATTATACCTCAATAAAAAATAGGTAATGATAGGAATTGCTGTGAGAACAGAGGAAGAAAAATGATAGAGAGGAGAGAAATGAGACAATGGATGGTTACAGAGAGAGATGTAATCAGTTTGTTGGTTTGTAGGTTGGACAAATAATAGTGTGTGTTTATGTTAATAAGAATTAGTTAACAGAGAGACAAACTTTATAGACACATGAGAAAGCAAAAGATTGCTGAAACAATGTTCATGGATAGGCTATAGCAGATGGGGTCTAATCCACAAGAGAAGCATTGGCCTTTGCTAAAAACATGGATATATCAATATATATTGATATGTCAATAGGAACAGAAAGACGGTAAAATATTTTTTTGGAAAGGATAGGCTGGTGGATAGATGTCCTGGGAGCCTACAGAATTTCTTTTCCAACTAATTCTCTTTTTTCAATGGATCAAGAAACCATGTCATTAGCCAAGAATGTGTTTGGAGAGAAGATATAAAATGGTCAAGGAAAGTGTGAATGTGAGTGGATTAGGGAACTATCTGAGGATTGCTGGAAAGCATACCAATCTACTTAAGGTGAATTTTCATGAACTAAAAATGAGGACAGCATGGCTTTGTTTTTTCCTTTAGTCACAGTGGCCCAGGACAGACCATTTTAGATGGGAGTTTTATTTAACTAGGACTGAGGTTTAGGCAGAAAGTAAGAAAAAGATTGAGTGCAAACATTGAAGTTATATGCAGGGGAGTGATGATGATGATGAACCATGGAATTTAATCTGGTTAAGCAGAGAAATTCGGACACAGAGTTGAGTGGTCAAGGTCAATGAAAGCTGGTAGAATTAATGGACTGTAGATGCAATGAATTGTAAGGCTTTTTGGAATTTTCTGACATGAGAAAGCAAGCTGGAATGTGAGAGGTAGCATTCAAAAATAAATTTGAAATTGAGATTATAGAGGGATCTCAGTTATTGTTAAAGATGTGTTAGAACATGTGAATCATGTTGGGGAGTGGGTGATTACCTATACTGGAGGGCATGATCCCTGAAGAAGATCCATCCCCACCACAAGGGAGGTAATCTTCTTTTCAAGAGTTCAAGTCATTAGGTCTATCCTTGAAGGAGAAGGGGTTATTTGTAAGAAAGTAGGTAGGTTTCTACCAAAAGGCTATTGATCTACCAGTAAGATTGTGTAGCAGTCAGTCAAAGATCTTAACTGAGAATCTGGGTCTGGATGCTTCAGTACTGAATTTCTCCCCGCACAGGGGCGGGGGTGCTGCAGCGGCAGGCCCTGGGTGTTGCCAGGCAACTGAGGTGGTGTGTTGCCCCAGGCAAGTGGTTGAACCCGGTTCTTGTCTTTGATCACTTCCTGTCACTGACTCACTTCCGGTCACTGGCTAGCTTGGAATCTGGAGTGAAGACCTGCCCAGAGACACCCTCGGGCCCTTGGGGGTTGGGTGGGGAAGTGAGAGGGTGAGGGGGTGGGGAGGTAGGGAAGGGCCAGTCCCAAGGGGCAGGTGGGGCCTTTGGGAGCAGGGACACCCTGATCCAACAGAAGAACTTGTCTCCTGTGCCGCCATGAAGAAGTTTTTCACTTTCTGGAGAAGGAACGATGAGCCGGTGAGCCCCTACTCAGACCTGCCCGTAGGCCGGGCCAGGACCAGTACTCGTCACCTCACCCAGCCGGGCTACAACCTTCGAGATAAGGACTTAAAGAAACTTCACAAAGCTGCCTCAGTTGGGGATTTGGAGAAGGTGAAGAAGTACCTTCAGCTGAAGAAACATGATGTGAATATACGGGACAGAGAATACAGGTGACCAGACTGATGAAGGGCAGTGTGGAGAGGAAGCAGGCTCCCCTGGGTCGTGGAATCAGGAGCAGGACTTGTCTGGCCTACTTCATCGTTTGTCACTCCGGGTTTCCCATTGCCAGAGGGTCGCACTCCCAAATTCCAGCTTGTTATTTCTTTCTTTTTTTTTTCCCCCAGTTTGTTATTTCTTAAAGTGCTTACCTGGATATTGGAGGTTATTTTTGTCATCCTTGATTGCCTCCACTCCTCCCATTGCATTAATCTCCACCTGGTACTTCACCCTTTACCCAAACTGATGTTTTTTAATTTGATATATGTATGGTTGTAAGATTTTGAGACACGGAGACAACAAAACAATGACTTTTTAAATTTGGTTCTCCTATGGTTTATTTATTTATTTTTTCCAATTGCAGAGTATCTTTAAAAAGCCCATCACAACCACTTACTGCAAAAATAAAATTAATTTTATATATTAAAAAAAGAAGTTACATGTTTGGCATTAATAATAGAAAATATGTACTGACTATGCCTATCTTAAAATTTGGGGGGCAGTTTTCAAGTCATAGGGTATGAAAAACATCATTTTTCCTCATAATTGGATAACTGGAAGCTGTCGTTATAAAGAAGGTTTATGTCAGTTTGCCAATAGTTTTATGTCCTTCCCTCTGACAAAAACAGAGTTATCTAAATTTATCCAATTTTTATCCTACACCACTCCATTGAATTACATTACAGGGTCATGGGTAACCTTGACATGACTTCATTTAGTGGTTAATTCTGTCTTACCTGGCTGGCATCTCAGCGAAATATCTTACTTGCCCTGTCAGTAGTATTTGAAATAATGTCTTGTCTTTCAGGACGCTTGGTTTTCCTGGCACTTCTTCTGTGGGCACTTCTTTCCAGATTCCTTTGCTGATTTCTTTTCCTCTTCCTGTCTGGTAAATATTTGAGGGCTCAGAACTTGAAATGATTCTGTGTCTTAATCTTCACTTGCCTGGTGAAGAGAGATTATCTTTAAATGTTTGTATTCCAGTGCTTTCCAATATTTTATCTCTGGCCAGAACTCTCTCCTAAACTCTGGACTCATTATATAAATACACTTCAACGTGGGTATCTGATAGACTGTGGTCTGCAGGTAAATGTTAATAGCAGGCTCTTAGTTGAGTGTGGGAGCGAAGCAAAGGGAGAAGAAGCCCCAATTTCAAGCTACCAATGTGATGTTATTTGGCTTGAATCGTTTCTGAAATTTTAACAATTGGCTTGTGAGAGCCACTTGCTTTATAATCACATCCCTCTGTAGACATCTCAAACATCCCCAAACTCTGCTCCCATTTTTCCTCCTCAGACTTGCATCTCTCTTTCTAGAAATACCAAATTCTTTCAGTTGTTAGAAACCCTAGCGTCATTCTGGACTCCTCTCTTTCTTTCTTATTACCCATCTGACCTTGTTGGCTCCACCTTCGGAACATAGCTAAAATCCAACTATTTCTTGTCATCTTCACAGTTACCGTTCTAGTCAAAATTGCTATCCTATCTTAACCAAAATTGCTGCAGTGGCCTTCTAACTAGTTTTCTGTCTTTAAACATTTTCAATTTACTCTCAATACAGTAGCCAGAAAGATCCTGTAAAATGTATGTGAAGAGTCATTCCTTGCCTTAACAACTTCTACTGGCTTTCCATCGCTTTAAGGGTAAAGGCCAAGATCCTTTCAATGGCTCATTCAGACTTACATGACACGTACCCCCACTCTGTTATCTCGCTGATCTTCTGTTCTACAACTTTCCCTTTCATTCATCTCCAGCTTCCCTGGCCTCCTTAGTGTTCCACAGAAATGCCAGAAATGTACTTAGGGCCTTTGGACTTGCTGTTTCCTTTGCCTGAAGTGCTTTTCCCCCAAATATCCACACGGCTTCCTCTCTCACTCCCTTCCCAGGTTTATATAATTATCACCTTATCAGCGAGGGCTTCCTTGTCTCCCCTTCATACAACAGCAAGTTCTTTGTTTGCTGACATTTCCTATCTTCCCTGCCTAATTTTCCTCTTAGCACTTAATACTGTCTGGCATGCTTTCTATTTTAAGTTTTTTGTTTACTTCTTCCACTAGCATGTGTGATCCATAAGAGCAGGTATTTTTGTCCATTTTGTTTGTGGCTCTATCCCCATCACCTAGAACCCTGCCTGGCCATAGTAAATGCTTCCTAGGTATTTGTTGATGACTACAATGCACACATACATATGTACATATTTTTAACTCATTATAATAACTGTCCTTAACGTGAAACCAGTTAAATATTTGATCTTAAAGGCATTTGCATAGCCTTTTTAATTCAGTAGAAAGCAATTATAATTAATGTGACTTGTATATAAAGATCAATAAGTACATGAAGGAAGTATCAACAGTATGTGATCTGACACGTTCTTGAGTATCATAACTTCTCAAATTAAGACTTACCTCTAACTCTGTGTTTTGTTATATTGATATAGAACACCTTTGCACCTGGCCTGTGCTAATGGATATTCAAATATTGTATCTCTCTTAATTGAGAAACAATGCAAAATAAATGCCTGCGATAGGGAAAACCGGTCTCCATTGACTAAGGTGTGTTCATTTTTCCTTTTCAATCAGAATGCATTTGAGTTCTTCTAGTTCACTTTTGTTGGGTTTCATAGTTTAAATCATAGTAGTAAATGTTAATTTAATGTAACACATCCTGAGTAGTAAGTTGGTTACTCGTCTGTTCTTGTTGTATTGACAGGCAGTACAGTGTGCTAAGGAGGATTGTGCTACTATTCTTCTAGGCCATGGTGCAGACCCAAATCTGGTGGATTTAGATGGCAATACTGCTCTCCATTATGCTGTCTGTGGCCAAAGTATCTCTTTAGTTGAAAAATTGCTTGAATACAAAGCTAATCTTGAAGATCAAAATAAGGTAGTCTATCAAAAATTACTTTATGTTATAGAAAGCAATGGAAGAAGGTATGTATTGGCAGATCATTCATATGTTGAAACACATGTTATATGAATTGTGAATTTTCCAAAATGAAACTGGGGGAAAGGAGAAGAAAAATGAGATTATCAAACACTGATAAGGTTTTCCTTTTTAAAAAATCTTGGTCCATTTTGTTTCAAACTATAACACTGACCTCTAAAACAATACTATATTTAACAATGATAACTCTTCAGAGGCATATATCAAATGAGAAATACCTGATTTCCCTATAAGTTTATACTGGTTAAAAATCATAAGCCTATTTTTGCCTGTCTTATTCATATACTCGTGGATAATGATAATAAGGTTAAATTAGAAAAATCACTTGCTGTACTAAAAGTAATCCATCTCTCCTATTGAGAGGAGGGGTTTTTTTGGGTTTTGTTTTTGGTTTTATTAAGCTTCTTAACACTCAAGTTCACTGATTTTGTCTCTATGACAGCCCAAAATAAGTGTCAGCCTTGGAGGCCTATAGAACCTCAATAATAACAACATTATGAAATGTGAATTGACAGTTTGTGATACTTACATTAAATGCTTGATGCTCTTCACTTAAATCCCCCAGGCTGCTCTTGCCCACAATTTGGATTAGGCCTAAAGTAAAAACTTGAATTTTATATCTGAATGATGGATTTCCAGTTTATTTTCTTAGTCTCTGAAATCATTTCATTTTTTGAAATCGAAGTGTATATTCAGAGGTTTCTTATTAATGCATTTTCTCTTAAATTGAACTTAAATCTAAAAGGCATATAATATTTGTATATTTTAAATAATCATTTTGAAATAATTTTTTCAGGATGGGTATACTCCACTGTTACTTGCCATTACTGAAAATAATGCAAAAATGGTAGAGTATCTTCTGAAGAGAGGGGCAGATGTGAATGCTTCAGATAAGAATCAAAGGTATAATGAATACTAAATAAGACCATACAACTATAGCTACCTAACAAGACAATACATATGTTTGTATGTGTTTGTGTATGTGTGTGTGTATACATTTTGTGATACTGATAAAAGATCTGGCCATATAATTTGGACAAATTAGATATATACAAATTTCTGTTCATTTCATCTCACTTTCTCATTGACTATTAAAGTTAGAATAGAGTCCTTTTTAAGTTTGTTAAAACTTAACAGAGTCCCAGCGGTCTGTTTTTCTGTAAAATCAAACTGTTGGGCCAGATTGATAGGTTATTATTATTATTATTATTATTATCCTTTGTAACTTAGAATCTTACATAGAAACTCAGTCTCTAAATCCTAGATGCTGTAGTTAATTGGGGGTAGATACCCAGAGCTCCAGACATGCCTCTCCCTAGTATTTTGAGACATCTCAAAAACACTAGGGTTCCAGGGAGAAGGGATTAAAAAACCATTGAGCTAGAGCACCTGGGTGGCTCAGTTGGTTAAGTGTCTGCCTTCAGCTCAGGTCATGATTCCAGGGTCCTGGGATTCAGCCCCACATCAGGGTTCCTGCTCTCTCTTTCTCCCTCTGCCTGCCTCTCCCCCTGCTTGTGCTTTCTCTCTATATATATTACTCTCTGTCAAATGAATACATAAAATCTTAAAAACAACAACAAAAACCTTTGAGCTAGTTGCTTCCTAGAGACTTAATTTTAGACTCTGATAACAATGTGATTGGTATATCCTTTTGAGCAGATCTGCCCCCCTTTTTGCGTTCTTGCCCTCTTTCCCTGATAGTCTACTTTTGAACAATAAATTTGGAAGACTAACTTTTCAAAAAAAGCACAAGACATGTCTAAGATCCATAAATACATGTTTATGTATCTCTCTTCTCCAGAACAGCCCTTATGATTGCTCTAAGCGATGAACCAACAAATTTAGTCAGTCTTCTTCTTCAGCAAGAAGTGGACCTGTCTTGCCAAGATATTTATGGATTCACAGCTGAGGAATATGCTTCTTTTAATGGTTTTACTGTGTAAGTGATACTGTATATCTTTTAACAATTGTATGGGATTTGATCATAAGGAAAGAACCATCAGCCCCCAAAGTGAAAAGCCGATAAGGTACAAAGTGCTGCATAGGGGTAACCATATCATGAATTCTGGCCACATGGATCCAGAGATCCTTGATTTCTTCTGTTTGTAGGGTCCAGTCAGTCTAAGAACTGCAGCCTGAGTCTGCGGATTAACTCCCAGTGGCATGGAAATTTGAAGTATGTCAGCACAGTGATTTCAGCAAATAGTGGCATAGCCAATAATAAAACCTCTGGGTAGTAACATTGGGCAAAAGATGATTCATCCATGAAAGCCTTTTTGATTGTTTTTATACATGAGTAACATAAAAATTCAACTTCTGAATATTATTATTCAAAATAATATTATTTTTTGTTAGCTAACTTTAGTTTGATAAGTTTTCAGAATTCTTAAGTATATTCTCATTAACCCAAAAGTCAAAACTTTTCATGTATAAGTATGCATTTCTAACTTTAATAGTCAATGAGAAAGTGAGATGAAATGAACAGAAATTTGTATATATCTAATGAAGTTAAAGGTATTTTCCTTATATGTTCATTTTAGGGTAAAATTTTAATTACACATAGGTATTTTTCCTAGTTTGTTTTCTTGTTCTTCCAGCTCCTTTACTTACATTTTAGTAATATCTTTTAGTCATTAAGTCCATATGAACATCACAGGGGTGGGAGGAGAGAAAAAAAGAGCAAGAGAAGAGAAGTAATTTTTATATATACATTCAGATGTTTATTTTTAACGTCTAAATTGAACTTTATAAACTCAGGGATTCATAACCCACTAAATATATAAACCATAACTGAGTACAGTATTTTCTTTGCAATATTGGACATATGTACCTTGATTTACCTTAGTTTAAGCAAACTATGTTATAAAAATTTAAAGAGATAAATTATTGATACTATCTATGTTATGAAGGGATTCTTCATTTTATAAAAAGAATCTGTTTCTTTTAATTAGGGAATTTTCCTTATCATTTACAAAGTTTGGATATGGGGGCACCTGGGTGGTTCAGTTGGTTAACCAGCTGACGCTTGATTTCAGCTCAGGTCATGATCCTCGGGGTCCTGGGATCAAGTCCCTGTCAGGCTCCACACTCAGAGGAGAGTCTGCTTGAGATTCTCTCACTCTCCTTCTGTCCTTCCCCTTGTACATTAAGCCCAAGTGTTATGAATTGTGTCCCGTTCTTCCCTCTTCAAAATCACATGTTAACTCCCCAGCACTTCAGAATTTGGATGATGGTATTTGGAGAGAGGGCTTTGAAAGTGATGTTAAGGTAAAATGACTGTGCAGTAGAGTGGGTCCTAATCGAGTTTGACTGCTATTCTTGTAAGAAAAGGAGATTAGGACATAGAGACACCAACAGTGCTTGTTGCCAGAGGGACAACTTTAAGGTGGAAGAGTCAGCAAAGCACAGTCATCTGCTAGCCAAGAAGAGAGGCCGGGAGAAGATCCTCCCTTTACAGCCCTCAGAGGAAACCAGCCCTTCTGGCACCTTGATCTTGGATTTCCAGCTTCCAGAACTGTGAGAAAATGTTTGTTGTTTGAGCCCCCCAGTCTGTGGTATTTTATGATGGCAACCCTAGCAACCTAATATACCAACAATAACCTAAAGCTATTTTTTTCTACCTTGCTAGTAGTTCATTTGTGAGAGCAGGAAAAAAGTACCAGAGAATGGGAGAATGTGAAGTAAAAAACGGTATCTGTTAATGAAATTGGCTTGAAAGGAGGCTTGAGGTCAACAGCAAGTGTATGACATACTTAGGAAGGCTCTAGTTAACATCTTAAGGTTTTGATCTAATGATTATTATGAATTGATTATTTACAAATCCTGAATTTATGGATAGATATCATCAATTAATTGCCAATTATGGAAGGGAGAAGAAAGTTGAACAGATGTCTAATTCTGAAGATACAGCCTTGGGCACTACATCTGATACAGAAGAACTGAATGAAGGTAAGAAGATACAAACTAAACAAATAGTTTTAATGGTTTGCTTTTAGGAAGAGACTCAGTTTCCTCAAATAGTATTTAAATTTGAAATAGAAATTTTCTCTAATTTTGAAATGCTAAATATTTTTAAGAACTGTCCTTTGTAGTTAAAACATTTTGACATTGTGTTGACTAAAAATGTAAAGAGATACTGAATGATTAAGATAGTTTTTATCCATAGTCTATTTATAAAAAACAAAATATGACTAGTTATAATAATTACTAGTTATAAAAAACAAAATTTTTAATAAATATAAAGCTATTAGTAAATTTTTAATTTTATTCTAAAAATACTTCAGATAAGTACATTTGATAATTGTTAATACAATATATACTTAATCATTACATAAAACTTAAAATAGGTAGTAATATCTGTAAATTAAAAATACTGTGCATCTATTGTAATAAATTCTGGTGCTTATTTAAAAAAAAAAACAAACAGTTATTTAAGTCTGTAAAACAGCATTTTGTTTATTTGTTTTTTGGTGTGTATATGTTACATTTACTTTTTTTAGTTGGATGACACAAAAATTTTTACAGTTATACTCTGTGAATATACCAGCAAACACACTCCTCCACTACCCTTCAACTATAGTGAAAAAAGAAAAAAAAAATAAGACAGGGAACCTGATGGCAATAGATCATATGACTGTCACAACTATTCACTCTTCCTTCATCCCCTCAAATCTATCATTATCATACTTAGAATAGTGCTTGCTCCTATTGCTTCAAGGTGAGTGAATTTAAGAGAGAATTTACCTGAATTTTCCTTTGCAACTTAATCTTACACACTCAAGAAATTTTGTTGTTTGGACTCTTGTTTTTCATCCTTATAAGTTCCTCTCCTGCCATTTCTCTCTCCATCTTTCTTTCTCTCTCTCTCTCTAGTAATGTTCATGCAACTATAAGAAGCAAAGAACTTCTGTGATTTATACTTCAGTTCTTTAGGGAAATAAAGCAGTAGAAAGTTAAAAATACCACTCATGTATTTTGCGTATCTCCTGAGGCTAAACAATTAAAACACCTCCATTCCTTTTACCCATGGCAATATATGTTGTTTTTAATGAAATGTTTTAATGAAATGTTAATCTTTGTGTGTTTTGAAGCATACTAGAAATATCAGGTCAAGAAAATTGTCCAGACACATTGCAAAAGATGGTGAACATCAAAGGTTGTGTTTCTGTCAGATTCCAAGGGGATAATTTAATTATTCATTTTTTAAAATGACCATTAAGATACAGATATATTGATGCTAAATTATAATTGTTTTGTAGCTCAGGTATAGAATTTAAGAAATAGACTTAGGAGTGAAAATATTTGAACACAATGAAGATATTACAAATATTACTTGTTTTCTAGACATATAACCTCATTTCTACAAGTCCTTTGCTACTGCCTTGAATTAGAAAAGTCTGTTTTGAAAGAGCAATTAAATGAAATGTCACAACATTTCACTGACTACTCATTTAAAGAAAAGTTTGTTAATGGAGAACAATTTTCACCTTAGAAGATGTGAAGAGATTTCAAAAGACAAACATCTATAATCATGAGCTCTCAGTTGGAAGGATACAATTTGTGTTCAGCTTATAGTCAGCAAAAGTCTTTTTAGTCAGAATTTTGAATGGGGTATTCGTTAAGTGTAAACTTTGAAACATAGTGTGCTAGGCATACATTAGAGCATTTAAATAAAGTAAAAATATTAACATGTCAGCTATAAAATAGAGAAAAACATTATAAGTAACCCTGTGTAAATGAAAATTCTCTTTTATTTGCAAGCACTTTCACTGACAAAACCCTTTTTCTTTTGGAGAAGTACTATAGTAATACAGTTTAAGAAAATTTGGGTATTACAGAAAAGGAAAAAGGAAATAAGACTCACAGTCTCATAACCCAAACAAAACATCTGTTAAATTTCTGGCCTGTTTTTGTAACCTTTTAAAATCTGCTTAACTTTTTTTTTTTTTCCCTCAAAGGGAATTTACAATTTTGCATTTAAAAACAAAATACAGAGTACATAGTTTTCACTATGCTCTTTGCTATACCTTGAATACATTCAGGACGATCTAGTTTCAGGATGACTCCCTAGAAGACTCTTCCTTTCATTGTATCCTGGGACACTTCCTCCCCTCATAAGGGACATCAGTGAAGACTTCTCTGGCTGCCCTTCCATTCTGCTGCTTACAATGCTTTGTTATCTACTCCTCTCCCCCTTGCCTTTTGAATTGCAAGATGCATAAGAGCTTGAGCTTTTGCTTGTAGTTAAATCCTCATCACTTGCAAATTATCTGGTGATAGTAAATATTCAGTCCCCAAATACAGTCATACCTCATTTCATTGCACTTTGGAGATTTCCTTTTTTTTTTTTTTTTTTCCCACAAGTCGAAGGTTTGTGGTAACTGCGTCAGGCAAGTCTATTAGCACCATTTTTCCCACTGCATTTGCTCACTTCATGTCTCTATGTCACGTTTTGATAATTCTCACAATATTTTAAACTTTTTCATTATTATTATATGTTATGGTGATGTGATCAGTGATCTTTGATGTTACTATTATAATTGTCTTTTGATGCCGTGAACCACACCCATATCAGACAGCAAACTTGATCCATCAGTGTGTGTGTTCTGACTACTCCCAACTTGCTGTTCCTTCTGTCTCCCTCTCTCCTCGGGCCTCCTTATTCCCTGAGACCAAAAGTATTGACGTTAAGACAATTAATAACTGTATAACAGACTCTGAAGTATTCAAGTGAAAGGAAGAGTCTCAAGTCTTTCACTTTAAATCAAAAGCTAGAAATGATTATGCTTTGTGAGGAAGGCATGTTAAAAGCTGAGATAGGCTGCAAGTTAGGCCTCTTGCGCCAAATAGTTAGCCAAGTAGTGAATGCAAATGACAAGTTCTTGAAGAAAATTAAAAGTGCTTCTCCAGTGAACATATGAATGATAAAAAGCAAAACAACCTTATTGCTGATGTGGAGACAGTTTTGGTAGTCTGGATAGAAGATCACCAGGTACAGCATTCCTTTAAATCAAAGCCTAATCCAGAGCAAGGCCTTAACTCTCAGATCTAGCTAATGATAATTAATAATAATTAAGATAGTTAATGAAGTGGCTACACTAAACAACAGATTTTCAATGTAGACAGAACAGCTTTATATTGGAAGAAGATGCCATCTAGTATTTTCATAGCTAAAGAGAAGAAGTCAATGCCTGCCTTCAAAACTTCAAAAGATAGGCTGACTCTTTTATTAAGGGCTAATGCTGGTGACTTTAAAAAGAAACCATTGCTCATTTACTATTCCAAATATTGTAGGGTCTCTAAGAATAATATAATATCTACTCTGGCTGTGCATTATACATGGAACAACAAAGACTAAATGACAGCACATCTTTTTACAACATGGTTTGCTGAAAAATTTTAAGCCCACTACAGACAAAAAGATTCCTTTCAAGATGTGACTGCTCATTGACAATGCACCTGGTTTCCCAAGAGCTCCGATGGAAATGTGCAAGGAGATCAGTGCCCATGGAAATGTGCAAGGAGATCAGTGCCTATTTTCGTGCTTATACAATTCTGCAGCTCATGGCTCAAGGAGTAACTTTGACTTTCAAGTCTTATTATTTAATCAATACATTTTTGTACCATCTTGTAAGGCCAGAGCTGTCATAGATAGTGATTCGTTTAATGGATCTGAGCAAAGTAAATTGAAAACCTTCTGGAAAAGATTCACCATTTTAGATGTCATTAAGAACATCTGTGATTCATGGGAAGAGGTCAAAATATCAACATTAACAGAAGTTTGGAAGAGTTGATTCCAATCCTCGTGGATGACTTGGAGGAGAAGGGTTAAAGACTTCAGTGAAGGAAGTAACTGCAGATGTGGTAGAAATAGAAAGAGAACTTGAATAAGAAGTGGGGGCTGAAGATATAACTGAACTGCTACAATCTCATGAAGTACTTTAATGGATGAGTAGTTGCTTCTTATGGTTGAGCAAAGAAAATGGATCTTTGAGATGAAATTTACTCCTGGTGAAGATGTTATGAAGATTATTGAGATGATGACAAAGGATTTAGAATATGATGCAAACTTAGTTGATAAAGCAACAGCAGGTTTTGAGAGGACTGATTCCAATTTTGAAAGAAGTTCTACTGTGGGTAAAGTGCTATGAAACAGCATCATGTGCTACAGAGAAATCATTTGCAAAGTGGTCCATTGATGCGGCAAACTTCATTGTTGTCTTCTTTTAAGAAATTGCCATAGCCAGGGTGCCTGGGTGGCTCAGTGGGTTAAAGCCTCTGCCTTCAGCTCAGGTCATGATCCCGGGGTCTTGGGATCGAGCCCCGCATTGGGCTCTCTGCTCGGCGGGGAGCCTGCTTCCTCCTCTCTCTCTGCCTGCTTCTCTGCCTACTTGTGATCTCCATCTCTCAAATAAATAAATAAATAAATCTTAAAAAAAAAAAAAAAAGAAATTGCCATAGCCACCCCGCCCGTCAGCAACCACCGCCCTAGTCAGTCAGGAGCCATCAACATTGAGGCAAGACCCTCTACCAGCAAAAAGATTATGACTCAATGAAAGCCCAGATGATGGTTAGCATTTTTTAGCAAGAAGTGTTTAGAATATTTTCTTTATATTACAGTGAAGGAACTGAGGTTATATAGTTAAGAAGCTTGAACATTCTTCCACTTTTAATTGGCTAGGTAGGACTACTGTAGACTTACACTATTTACACTTTGACACAATGCTATTGCACACTTAATAGACTACAGTACAGTGCAAACATAACTTTTATATGCACTGGGAAACCAGAAAGTTCATCTTATTTTATTACCAAGATGAGAGTAAATAGCCCAGGAACTCAATAGGCAGAGAGCAGAGTTCAGACTGTGAGGAATTTCTGTGTTAACAAGGACACAATAAGCCACTAAAAGCAAGGTAGAAGAAGTCTCCACGGGACCTGTGCCTAGTTAAAGTTGGGATCTGCAGTGATAGGTGATGTAAATCTTGCTGGATGGTCTGAGAAAACTGTGGAAATAAAGATAACCCAAGTGAGAATAAATAGAAGCTATTCAGAGTTTGCAACAAGGGAGTCAACCATCATCACTTACATATGACAGAGCCTCAAAGGAAAGCAGGAAAGTGGGAAACCTCTATTATTTAAAAAAATGGAAGACTTCATGCTTGAAGTCTGATTGGGGTTGGTTGGCATGGAGAAGCTGGAGATTGGTTAATTAGAAGTGTTGCATCTTATGTGATTGATGTGAAGAGCATATTTGGCTTTCTCTAGTTGGTGTTGAATTGGAAGTGAAAAGAGGGAGGAGTGAAATAGTGGGAAATTGGCAGTGTTCTGAGTTTTAAGCCTTGACAAAATGTAAGTGCTTAATCAACGAGAGTTTTTATTACAATTGTAAGAAAGACATTTGCCAACTTCGTATTTCATGTATATATTTACTATTTCCATTGATGCTTTAGTAACAGAGTGGAAAAAATATAGTAGACTCAAAGTCCTACCTAGCCACTTAAAAGCGGAAGAATGTTCAAGCTTCTTAACTATAACCTCAGTTCCTTCACTCTAATATAAAGAAGACATACTAATCACTTCCTAAAATTGTTCTCATGAGGCAGATCTTTTCTCCTTTATACTACATTTATACTACTTCAGCATCCTTGGACTCATGTATCTTTGATATAAATTGTATTGATTGGCTACATGATATTCTAATTCCCTATGTGTCACTCACACATTCCCTTACTGTAAGGTATTACATTCCCCCCCCCCCCCATTTTTTTTTCCACCATTAAAGACTGAAAATATCACCTTGCTATCAATATTTTCTTCTTTGGAATTATGTCCATTAGAGATAGTTATACAACTGACATTACTAGTTTACAAAGTATTAAAGTATTTATGTTTCATAAAATGTACTACCAATATTTTTCCAAAGTCTTTCAGTGTTTTAAGATCCATTTGAATCAAAAGTTGACTGAAAAAAAGATTTGACTATTGAAAAAAGTGGAAGACCAGAAACTATATGTGACCAAAACCTCTTTCTTATTTGACCATCTCATTACATTTTATAAGAGGAGAAACCCATTAAATAGATTTATATGAAAGATTTATTTTGAATAATAAATTTTAAAATGAAAGTCCTTAAGGGGAAACCATTTTTCATGTAATTAAGCTAGGTACAGAAGTAGAGGGTTGATGATGTTAACAGTTCTTTAAAGTTGTATGAAGAGAAATTTCTTTAAATCTTGTCAGTATCACTCTATGATTGAATTCATGGAACTCATTTGGCATTAGGGATAAAGTTTCAAGCTTTTATTGAGTGAGACAGAGCCAGAAGAGTAGAGGAGGAGAGAAGTGAAATGCTTTTTTTTCTTTTCATCTGCACAGGGTACTTCCCTTTCTGCTCATAATTTCCCTTTGGGGACACACGTTGTCACACTCTGAAACCATGGCAGGGACAGGGGTTGCTGCATGTGCTCCCAGATTAAAATCCCCACTACCTTCCAGATGTGGGAGTAGAATAAGCTGCAGGAATGAAGCTTCTGCTACTAGAATAAGTAAGAGACCTATTAAAAAATAAAATTACAGGGTGCCTAGGGAAGTTTTCTGGGTGACAAGGCTTTCCCGGTGTTGCAGCCCCAGGTCGGCAGGGCCCTGGTATTGTGCAAGCCAGCTTGTCCTTAGGCCCTAGTGCCCATCTGGATGCCCCACCC